CGGTATTCGGGTTTCTGAGTTGATCAGAATAACCCGTTAACATTGGCATAAATAGAAAGAGTTACCTCTAACTTGCATAACCCGATTTAAATGCGGACGTTGGGGTAGCGTCAGGACGTATGGACTACGTCAAGACGCAATATGCGTCATATTTCGCTGTCTCTGTACTTTCGGCAATCAACAAAAGACATAATGTTCATACTTTTCACCAGACCGATGAAGACAGGGGTTTCCTCGTCACTCCAAAAGTGTGGTGCTGTGCCGCGACTCGCCATGTTGCTCCCAACTTGTTGGTTACTTCCGGTGTTCTGGCGCATACAAGACGTCTCGCTACTCAAAAGACCAAGATTCCTTGCGAACAGAGCATGCGCAGAACACACGCTTTGATGGGGATATCCCGATATGCGTTTACACGACCAAGCATTCGGGTTAGAGAAGGGTTACCCCAGGTGTAGTAACCGGGTTTTTAAAAACCCGGTTATGATCATATCCGGGTTTTTGGTGGTGTTTACATGGCCGTGTGGAACCGGGTAATTGTGAATATTCGGGTTTTAAAAGTGTTACTGGCTGCATGTAAACGCACTCAATGAGACCGGAGAGGAGTAAAGGGTGGCAGATCTACCAAGGTGTGTGTGTGGTCGACCTGTCATTGCGGCACCCAGTTCTGGGGGGTGGGATCGTTCGCAGTTGGTTAGGACTGCCGGCGATGAAGAGAGCTGAGTAAGTGGGCAGTGGTCCAGCGCTAGGAGGGGAAGCTTGACGCCTGCTTTAGGTAGTGAGGGCTCGGAGTATTTGGGTGCCGAGACCACGCCGACATCTGCCGCTGCAAACTCTGGCAGCCGGACCTGAGCCGTGGACTCACCCCCCGTCCTCGCAAGCTGAACCCCGGGGCGTTGGACGGTGTCAGAAGCTCAGACCCCGGGGAGGGGGTCGCATCGACTGGGCCAGCTAAGTACCCGCTTGCTTGATCTTGCTTATGCTGAACAGCTGGTTTTATCGTGAAGGAACTCGGCCGCAGTGTTTTATTGTTGGTTGTATTAATAAAGGATATTTTTGATAAATTGCTGCCTACTGGTGCTGTTTTTAGGTTCTGGCTGGAGGGTAAGATATTCTGCCCGTGCACCCACTGAAACTTATATTCCAATATTTACTCAGAACTAGGGCCCGACCGATATATCGGCCGGCCGATATTGGGGTCATTAACAGTATCGGCTATCGGCCAAAAAGACAGCCGATATGGCCGATATTGCGCTACCTATCCAGCAGATGGCGCCAACTTTATGAACTCATGTTGTGTGGCACCACTCCTTTGAACTTTGAACACAAATGATTGTTTTGGAACTTTTTTTATTTATTCTTATATATGTTACTTATGTGCAATTATTTCCTGTCCAGTGTGAATAAGTTCACCAAGTTAACTTCCACAGCGTGTTACTTTGTTACAAAGCACAAGTACTATGTTTTATTTATTGCTGCATTTTTATTATTTTAATATTCTTATAGGGATCTTCTTTCCCTAAACTTGTGTGTGTTTTTAGATTCCCCAGAGTTAGCTAAGTCAGAAAAAACATTTTGTAACCGGTTGTTTTAGCATAAAGCAATGGAAGGGAAGGCTTGCATTCACCTACATAAAAAAACACTACAATGTATGTGAATTCACTTACATTGTTTTATGCTAAACTAAGAAAACCAACTGCTGCCAGATCATATTGGGCTGGTTATAAAATGCCTTTTCTGACTTGTCTAACTCTGGGGAATCTTAACGAGACACAATTTTACTGAGTGGTGGAATATTCCTTTCAGTTAAAATATATTTGTGGAATCCACAGTTTACAAGAAAAAACATGAATGTTAGATTTATGCTGTGACTGAGTTTGTGTGTTCTGTTGTTTTTGAGATCTGCTAAATAAATCTTATTTGCATTACTTGGAAACCCTAGTGAGTTATTGAGACAGATCTTTGGTGTGTAATAGAGAAATAAGTTTGCATCAAAAAGGCAGAGAATGAAGGGTTTAAGCTTAAGAAAATGTTTCTTTTTTTGTGAGGGAGATTTTTCGGCCATTGTATCGGCTATCGGCCTTTGTTAAAAGTTTTATATTGGTATCGATCCCAAAAAAAGCATATCGGTCGGGCCCTACTCAGAACACATTTTAATACAAATAACACTAAAATCATCTACGTTCAATGCTTCTTATTTTTGGCACCGCTAACCGTGCTAGCTTCCTTGCAGCCAACTAAACTGTTGCTACAGGTGTCTACTTTAGCGTTATGTCATAGCCGTCTATTATCAAACTCTAGGACAACCTCCCAGACAACGCTGCCATATATTAACGTTGAGTGTATTTAGACAGAGTTAATACGTTATTCACTACGAGGAAGGCTTAAGCTAATGTTACTCACTCAATCAGTTGGCACAGCAGAAGCAGCAGTCTTGACTGACACGCCGACGCACAGAGATGATTCCTATGCAGCTCTTCCTGCAATCTTTAATGTCGGCAAGCCACGGTGACTTTCTCCTGCAACACCTGACACGGATAACTCGCTAGCTACCTGGATAAACACCAGAAAAGGGAGAACTGTGACATGCTAGCATTAGCTAATGCTACCGAGCAAATAGTTAGCGAGATGATGAAAATGTGCTTCTCTCCCGGTAAGCCGGCGATGTCTGGTATTAACTACACCGTAAACGAGCCGAGGTGACTAGCCAACGACGACGACGAAACCAGAATCGACAGGTTCACCCTGGCTGCTAGTTTTTCAGAGATAACTTTCCATCCAACCCTCGAATAATAAAAGACAGGAATTTCGCCATCGCTTACAGTGCGTTGTGCGCATGCGCATTCGTGCCTCTCACGACAAAGTTCCAAGACAAATATTAAATAAGTATATAATTCTCTCGCATTATGTTTTTGCGTTCGTAACATATGCATGGTTGGCATGTGGGGCTTTTTTCGTTTACCGAAATTTGCATGAGAAGACATTTACGGTTGACGTGTCTTTGACCAGTTCGTCCAAGTCAACCATTGACGAGACAAATATTTGCAATGAAAAAAAAAAAAAACAACGACTGACATCATTTCTATTGCCTAAATCCTTGGTGTTAGGTCTCGTCTCGGACAGTATTCTCTCTCTCTCTCTCTCTCTCTCTCTCTCTCTCTCTCTCTCTCTCTCTCTCTCTCTCTCTCTCTCTCTCTCTCTCTCTCTCTGTCTGTCTGTCTGTCTGTCTGTCTGTCTGTCTGTCTGTCTGTCTGTCTGTCTGTCTGTCTGTCCGTCCGTCCGTCCGTCCAGGATTTATCCTGCTAAATATTTATTATGTGAATTAAATAATTTTCTTTCTTTCTTTCCGTTTTCAATATAATTTCCTATTTATTACATTTATTTACTTAATTATTTATTTATTGTATATTGCCCGGATGAATCCCCCATAAAGAGCAGAGCAAAATACAATTTGAGAAACAACATCAGAAACATCATGCACAATAAGTATCTTGATTATCTTAATTTGCAAATATAATCTCGTGTGATATATTTTATGTGCTACTGCTGCTATCCTCTGACCTTGAGCAGTTTTAGTAATGCAGTTACCCCACTGAGGGACAAATAAAAGATATTCTTATTGTTAAATACTGTTTTTTTACACACTCATCATCATCATCATATTTAATGTCATGCTTTTGCAACAAAATTGCATAACATATTTGTTTAATTCTCACTTCTCACCAGCTTTTAGTCCATCCAGAGCTCCACCTGCTGGACTTCATAGCTTTCCACTTTAGTGATCAGCAACTCACACATTACATTACATTGTTTATTTTTATTTAAAACTAACCGAAACTAGCTGTTACGTTTTACTGCACATTTCATATTCATTTTTTTGATTTGTTTATGCTTTTAAATTGTAGTTTTTATGGACGATAAAAGTGATCCAGAAACAGTTTGAGGTCAAATAAACAGTACTGAACCATAATTTCTATCTTGTGTTTATTTGGTCACATGTAATCTCATTGGTGACTGTGAGAATAAGGCAAGGCAAGGCAGCTTTATTTGTATAGAACCTTACAACAGCATAAAACCAACCAACGTGCTTCACAGAAATTAAAACATTAAAAAACAATACACAACATAAAAATGCATTAAAAACTAAAACTTAAGAACTAACACCAAAAAGAGTAAAAAAGACTCTCATGCTGAGTTAAAAACCAAATCATAAAAATAGGCTTTCAAAAAAGATTTTAAACCACACTATGAAGAGTGAAGAATAAAAATAAAGATGTGACAAAACAGGGAAACACACCTAAACATAACAGTTTTGAAGTTAAACTAGTAAAATTAACTAGTGAAATACCATTTAGATCTCATTACCACATTCACAGAATGCATCTTGTTTTGTTCGTCATCCCTTTCTCTAAATCGGAGTCAGGAATGGTGGCCTTTTCTGTCAAAGGACCAGACTGGAACAATTTGCCTGTTTTCCTAAGAATCATCACTACAATTTGTCAGTTTAAAATCTCTTTGTATGAACATTTAATACCCATCTGTAATTGTTTTAGATTTTTCACTTTTGTCTTTATTTACTGTTTATCTTTTTATTTATTATTTTTATTTTCATTATTATGAATAGAATTTTTTTAAATTTTGTTGTTATCATTACTATTGTGGTTTCAATGTGTGGCACTGAAATACTGTTTGCTATCTTGGTTTACTATTTGTTTTGATTTGTATAGAGGACCCACTTGGAAACGAGATGGTTCATCTCAAGTGGTTTATCCTCTCGAAATATAAGTAAGTAAGTAAGTAAGTAAGTAAATAAATAAATAAATAAATAAATAAATAATAAATATGATAATTCTGTGATCTCTTTTTTAACCAAAACGAATCGCATCTATTAAAAACATTCAAACCACGTTAAGAAGTTTTTGAAAACATTGTTACAAACCACAACAACTTTAATTTATGCCGGCATTAATGGAAGTTATAATCTCCGATTTTCCTTGAACGCACCGTGAGTTTACAGGAAGTGTTTTCCTTTTCCAGGCGGTAAGATACAGCAACCGCTGTTAGCTCCATGCCACACAGCTGATATGATCCCTTTAGAGATTTATAAGCGTCATTATTGATTAGAAAACGAAACTGCGGAGGAAACATTAGCTAGAACAACATTTAAAGGTAAGCTCGACTGTTTGGAAACATCGTGTAGCAAATGAAACTCCTAATGCTAAAGTAGCTAAGTGGTGGGTTTGTGGAAACTAGATGTTGTTGGCAGCTTGTAGGCTCCGAGTTAGCTTTTTTTCCGTGGTTTTGCTTGCATTTTCTTTGGAAGTCTCGTGGAAGCCGCGGTGTGTGTGTGTGTGTGTGTGTGTGTGTGTGTGTGTGTGTGTGTGTGTGTGTGTGTGTGTGTGTGTGTGTGTGTGTGTGTGTGTGTGTGTGTGTGAGAGAGAGAGAGAGAGTGAGAGAGAGAGAGAGAGAGAGAGAGAGAGAGAGAGAGAGAGAGAGAGAGAGAGAGAGCGAGCTGAGTTCATGCTAAGTGCAATCCATTATTTTTCATGAGCCAGCAGCTGTACTGCTGCCAGATGTACAACACGTTTCTTTAGAAGGATCTGATGAGTTTGTATTTATATATTTATTTTACATGTTTTACTGTCTTTTATTTTTTTATTAAACACATGTAATCATAACAATAGTAACCTGTGACTACAGTTTAAAAAGTTTCTAATTTTACAATGCACTGTTTTGTCCTCAGACAAAATGAAAGGTTTTCTAATATTTACTTTCGTTATTTATCACCTGGACCCTAAATTGGTTTATTCTGATAGCCATCCACTGCTTTCTGTGACTTTGCATTTTTGCTTTAAAATTTTTCTGACTAGTGATCAGTTGTTTCATGTTGTCTCTCCCTAGCGCAGTAGCATGCTGGACGTGGGGAAGTGGCCAGTGTTTGCACTCCTTCCTCCTGAGGAACTACGGCTTATCCGGCAAGCTTGTGTCTTTGGCAGTGCTGCAAATGAAGCTCTTTATGTCACAGTTAATGATGAGGTAACATTTGAAGGCTGTGAGCCACATTGCTTTAACCCCTTTGCTTCAACTCAGGAGTGCTGTTAGACATGGCTGACCTAATCTACTTTCAGGTATTGATCGGATCATTTTCTGTTTAGAAGTGGATGAAAATGCTTTGGGCTCTTCACTCTCCAGTGGATATAAGTGAGCAGTTCTCTGTGCACAGATAAGCAGATAGAATGAGGCTATCTTTAGCCCTACTGGCCTAATACCCAACCGTGTTCTATAATTATCCTGTGGACATGTACCGTGCACGCTGCATCAGTGCATCTATGTATGCATGTTTGTTTGCCTTGACAGGATGTGTTGTGTTGCAAATTACGTATTTTGATGGAAGCCGTGGTAAAAATCACTCTAGTCAGCTTGCACGGTTGTTTATTTATTTGATTGTTTTCATTTAGAGTTACATTTTAGAAAACTGATTCTACATCTTTGTTAGAGGTGTTGACATTAACTACTAGACATATAGACAGATTGTAAAACCTCTTTTGCTGCTTGCTATATTAATAGATTGTGTTGCACAAAGCTGCAGGAAAAATATAAAAATGCTCCTACTTTTAATACTATAAAGAATAAAAATCAACACCTACTAATAAAGTCTTAACAGATTTTTATCATCTCAAAGGGAAATATGTTGTTTTGATGCAAAATCTTACAGCACTAGGACAGAGTATTTGTGTATTATCCAAATATGCATCTATAAAGTAATGTTGTTGGAGGGAATAATAATTAATGTATATAACAGATAAGAATGTTAGTCAAAAACTATAAATCTGGGTCACCCATGGCAATAAAATAGGATGTTTCTAATCAAAATTGAGTAGAACACTTGGAGTAAATGTAAGGTTGAGCTGATTCATTCTGCAATCATGAAGGGCCATTAGACATTTTGTGTTCAATGGAATGAAAACAGCTGTCAAATAGCAAAAAAAGGAAAACTTTTAGTGGTACCCATAAAATCTTAATGTTTATCATTTAATTGCAGTGCTTCAGTCGTAATGTTTGCTGTGTGTGTGTTTTTTTATTAGGTCTTCGCTTTGGGCACCAATTGCAGCGGCTGTTTAGGACTCGGAGACCTTCAAAGCACGATTGAGCCGCGCAGGATTGATGAATTGTGTGGAAAGAAGATTGTGTCCCTCAGCTATGGAACAGGGCCCCATGTGGTTATCGCCACAGCAGGTAATCAGTTTAGAAAGTACAAGTTCAGAAAATCCATATTTCACCCCAAGGTGGGGATTTTACAGGTGACAGTGGGATGGAACCCCGTCCAACAAGAAAAAAAAAAACCAACAGATTTTAGTAATCTCTTTCCTGGTGGCTAGCATTTCTACTGCAGCTAATGAATGACTGCACTAGGGATGCACGATAAATCTGCGTCGATGTTGGTATCGGTCGATGTTAGTCCCTTTTTAACACGGGCATCGGTCTGATAAGTAAAACTGGGCCGATATTAACAACCATTATTTTTTCCGTCTTGTTTCCGTTTGTGTATCTGTTTCAGAGGGTGGTGATGTGTATCTGTTTCAGAGGGTGGTGATGTGTATCTGTTTCAGAGGGTGGTGATGTGTATCTGTTTCAGAGGGTGGTGATGTGTATCTGTTTCAGAGACCGTTACACATCACCACCCTCAACAAATATCGATTATCAGCAGTCACAGAAATATTAATGTCGGATACAGATATCGGCCCAAAATTTCATATCAGTGCATCTCTAGACTGCACACTCGAATACTCACTAGTGGCAACAAAAATAAGAAAAAATCAACGAGTTCGAGCATCTTTGTTCACTCAGAATTGACAAATTCGGATAGAAGCGAAACGTCTTTAAGAAACTGAAGAAGTCTAGCTGCCTTCATTTGAACCTACGGCCTGGATGGCTGTTTCCTGTTCCTATCTGTTTTTTCGTTTAATCCATTTGCTTTCAAGGGTAATTACTGTTCTTTTAAACTGACTCATCTTTTATTCAATCCATTTCCTTAAGAGGATTTTATGGTTTAAGTAACTCAAGCTTAACACAAAACTGGTTAGACGCAGTCATTCTGGTTTAGCCTGTTGGCCTGCCACTTTTTTGCTTTCTGTCTTTTGTGCATCTGTAGCTCTAACAGCTCCTGGTCCTTTGAGATGTCGCTCACTTCTCCTGGTACCAGACTAGAAATAATCTCCATTAATGTAAATGTAATCTGTGATGAGAAATCACATAAAGTGGATTGTAATGTGCAGTATTAACAAGTGCGACGGAATAAATGAAAGGGACCCTGCTGCTGTGTAGATGGTGAGGTGTTGGCCTGGGGTCACAACGGCTACAGCCAACTGGGAAATGGGACCACCAACCACGGTCTGACCCCTGCCCTGGTGTCAACCAACCTTCTGAACAAGAGAGTGACAGAAGTGGCCTGTGGCTCCCACCACACCATTGCCCTCACCAGTGATGGAGAGGTAAGTGTTCCTCTGGTGTGGTTTGACAGAAATGTTGTTTCTGCTTCTCATTTGGATTCCTTAAGACTCTGTTGCTGTTACCAGGTGTTTGCGTGGGGTTACAACAACTCGGGCCAAGTGGGTTCTGGTTCTACAGCCAATCAGCCGACGCCGCGCCGGGTCAGCAGCTGCCTGCAGAATAAAGTGGTGATCAACATAGGCTGTGGCCAGCTCTGCTCTATGGCTGTTTTGGACAATGGAGAGGTACTGGGACACACAGCTGTTTAGAATTGAACACCCGTTGACCTAAATGTGAGTAACTACGGCTTCTCACTCTAGATTTATTCAGTACACGAGGTACAGTGTGACGTTAGGTATTAAAAATACACATCTTTCTTTTAAAGGTAGGGCCAGAGTTCAGTTCCAGAAAGCTACTTTCTGAACTCAAGCGCCCAACCCACCCCCACCACCCTAGGCCACACCTCCAAAATACAGAAACATGCAATGCTTGTTCTTAACTCATTCGCTGCCAATGACGACTAAAGTCGTCATTTGCATTTTTTTTATTGTTTGGGCATCGGAACGAGCCCCCGCGCTGAGAGAACGAACATCTCAGCTCTGAAGCTGATCTTCATCCGCATACGTCACACGTCTAGGGATGGGTACAGAATTCGGTACTTTTTAAGGTACCGACCGAATTCCATAGTACCGACCGAGCACCGATTCACATCATTTCAAACGGTGCCTTGTTTTGGTACCCGTCCTTCATAACGAAAACTTGCCTAGACAGCTGCGCATGCGCAAGAGCGTTTTGTCGTTGGTCGCTGCGAGCGAGTTGTAAACAGAGCAGCATGGATAGAAAAAAGGCACGCTAAAGCTTGGGTCCACTTCACAAAATGTGATGGGTAACTGGGTGATGATGAAACCAGCGACAACGATCTAAGTGAGACATCCTCATCTTAATCTGCTCCGGTAGGTAAATATAATTAGCTTGATATGTTAGCTTCCGTTTTGCTAATGGTGCATTCGCTTTCTCCTCGGAACTCCGAATTCCCGACTAGAAGAACATGAATGCGCTCTAAAGTTTGGCATCACTTTACTAAATGTGACGGGTGAAGATGAAACCAGTGACAACGATCTAAGTGTGAGGCATCATCGTTTTAATCTGCTCCAGCAGCTAAATAAACTGTTTAAGATAACGTTAGCTTGATATGTTAGCTTCCATTGCTACCATTGTTATCAGCTAATGGTGCTTTCGCTTTCTCCTCAGAAATTCTAACTTCCCAGTAGGAAAAATCAAAAGAAAAAGGACGGTTAAAGGACTGAAGATACACAGTAAATTTAGTTCACAGTAAAGATGTTTGCTTCAGTTTAATTATCAGCTTATAAAACTACAAGGACGATGTTAAAATACAAACAGTTGAATGTTATTTATCGTGATATATATCAAATATTGTTATATATTGAGAAAAATATATATTTAATTATAAAAGAGAATTAAAATATTAAACACTCAAAAGTATCGAAAATTGGTACCGTTAAGTACCGGTATCGATTCGTAGGTACTGGGAATTAGTACCGAATCGATTCAAATGTCAAAGGTACCCATCCCTACACACGTCACGTGATCAGGAAGCAGAACATCCATGTGTTAGGAGATCGTTTTGGGCCGTTCCTGTAAAAAAAGTGAGGCGCGAACCGGAAAAGCATCTGCCGATCACAATTCAACAATGGATTATAAAAGAACAGATAACGCTCGAAACACGCGGATTCTTCCTGATGTAAGAGGTGAGTCTCCTCCTTGTTTAGGTTGTTTTGGCGTCGACATCATGCTAGCGCGCAAAGTTCTGTGGCTCTTAAAAAAACAGTAAAAACGGTGAGAAACGCTGGCAGCGAAGGGCTTTACCGATCAGGAAACGGCTGGCAGTGAATGAGTTAAAGGTTTCATTTTACGTGCTCCACCCATTCTTGCCACCTTTCCTGATACATCTCCTAACGTAACACATCTGCATAACTATATAACAATTTAGCATGCTAGGTAATATAGTGAGGCAACTGTTAGCTTTCTTGGTTTATTCTTAACTTCAAAATTTCAGCAGCTAAGCTCCACCAACAGTCAAATAAACCCCATCATTAACAAGTCCAAACTTCCAGAACCCAGTCGTCCTCTCCTCTCTGCCAGCTGCCCACACCCACCTTGTCAAGACAACAATCGACAGATGGCTCTACCAGCCGACAGAGGACAGGCTGCATTCACAGACAACAGCTCCGCCACCTAAATGTTTCCCAACAAGAACAGAGCCAGAATCCAAACAGAATATGTTAAACAACTCTTTAAATAAAATTTGCAAACAGAACATTCTGTCCTGCGCTCCTAAACTCTGGAATGATCAACCGTTGGATATCAGACTCTTCCCCTCCATTGAGGTTTTTAAGTCTCGCTTAAAGACTTACTTTTAGTCCCTTGCTTTTACTGCCTAGCTATTTTGTCTAGGTTTATTTACTCTACTTTACCTTTTACCTGTTTTACTGACTTCTCTTGTTTGGTTCTTTGTGCTATGCTCTAGTTGTTCTATTATTTAATATTATTCTTTTAACCGTGTATGTTATTACCCCTGTACAGCACTTTGGTCAGCTCACATAATGTGCTCTATCAAATAAATGGAATGGAAAAACATTCTGTTCTTTACAGTAGGCAGCCAGGCACTGGCTTCACTTCCTGCCCAGCTGCACCGAGCCAAGAACAGGCGTTGATGGATGCAAAAGGATCCAATCATTAATAATGAGACACTCACAATGATTAGATCAGGTTTTTCAGAAATGTACGTTTCAGAGGCGATTCAAATGATTCCTTTTGGTTGGCATCTGTACGTGAAGAGCATTTCAAGCAATATTGCAAAAATTACTCTAGAGAAACATCTCCTACCCCTCCTTTATGATCATATGTGTAACCTTGGGTCTGTCGTTTGTAGATCTACGGTTGGGGCTACAATTGCAACGGACAGTTGGGTTTGGGCAACAATGGAAATCAGCAAACCCCCTGCAGGATCGCAGCCCTCCAAGGAATCAACGTAGTCCAGGTAAGCACCCAAACAGCAGCAGCTCGCAGATAAGTGCCTCTCTTATCGTTCTTCTGAAAATGAATTCTGTCTTACATATGCAGGTAGCATGTGGCTATGCACACACGCTGGCGCTTACAGATGAAGGGTTTGTTTACGCCTGGGGAGCCAACTCTTATGGACAGTTGGGAACGGGCAATAAAAGTAATCAAGCTCTTCCCACCTTAATAAATACAGACAAAGAGAGGTTAGTACCTTGTTTTAACTCGGCTCCCGTGTAGCCGTGCCTCATCTGCGAGGTTTAGCATCTCAGATTAGTTCAGTCAACTTCAAAGAAACGCCTTAATCTAACTTAACCTGATAAATCCACAGTTTCACATAATTTGAAGCAGCTTTCAGCTTCTTTCTCTAGCAGGATGATATTAGTGCTCTAAGGTTGGAGTTGTGATTTTCCTACCAGGATGGTGGAGGTAGCTGCTTGTCACACCAGCCACACGTCAGCAGCCAAGACGCAGAGCGGTCAGGTTCTGATGTGGGGTCAGTGTCGAGGTCAGGCTGTGTCGAGCCCACACCTCACCCACTTCGGTACCACTGATGACGTGTTCGCCTGCTTTGCCACGCCGGCGGTTACGTGGCACCTCCTCTCAGTGGGTAAGATTATTGTAGACACACACACACACACACACACACACACACACACACACACACACACACACACACACACACACACACACACACACACACACACACACACACAAGAGGGACAGAGGTCAGCTTTTAATAATTAAGGGACTTTTGCTGAGTATTTGAATGTTTTTGCCACTTTTACCCTTTGACCAAGGGGTCAAGGCTCCCAGGGTTGAAATATTCCTCAACAATTACGGAAGTTTAGTAAAATATTTGAAAATGTGACCATTGTTATATTCACCCTTTGACCCAGAGATAATGATGCAGTGGGCACATTTACCTCTAAGTAACAAACAGGAAACTGTGTTTCCTGTTTGTGTCAAACTGGTGTTGTACGATCTCAGCTCAAACTCAGGAGCTTTTACTCTGTTTACATTCTGTTCTGTCATCCCTGGTTAAATACGACATGTCTCATGTCTCAAATCATTACTTTTTTTGTGGAAGCTCATTTTTCTCCTTGTTTTAATGTAATTTCTGTAATTTTAACACCATTTAGCAGTATTCTGTTCTAAAAAACAATTGCTACTTGCAGAAAAAACAAAGCCACAGCCAATTAAGGTGTTTTCTGTGCTTTAATTTTAATTTTCCCAGATGGTGATGACCACATGACAGTCGCCCAGTCTTTGAAGAAGGAGTTTGACAGCGCAGAGATTTCTGACCTCAAGTTCTTGGTTGATGGGAAGTGCATTTATGTCCACAAAGCCTTGCTAAAGATCAGGTAAATAGACCTTTTTGTCCATCCTGACTTTCACTTTGGTCGCATGACTGAGGATGTGTTTGATTGTGATGAATGAGAAACACATCAGGATTAGTGAATTATCATAAATATAATTTTAGGAAATCACGACCTTGGTCATGCTACCATCATGGAAGAAAGCACATCAACAAAAAAAAGATGTCCTCTTATATTTAAAGTTTACATGTGAGAGTGTTTCCTGTTAGTCACAAGGAAGCTAAGAGTGGCCTTTTGTTTCCCGCATTTCTTTTTTTAACCACACTTGAACGCGTTATCTGCATTCCAGCGCTTTGCTCTGTCAGGAGGAAGGAGCCGGGCCGTCTGCAGCCTCTGCGCAGGGCAGCGGTGACAAACCTCCTCTTTGGAAAGATCTCATACAAACAACACTGAATGAAGACACTTTTTTTTTAAGTCCTCAGAAAAAGTGATGGGGGAGTTTAGAGCCAGCAGAAGACGAGAGATGTACATTTAGCTTTTAAGGCTTCGCCTTTTAAAGCATATAAAGGCAAAAAGATCAAAGGATTATAGGCAGAAATTTATTTTTGTAAAATGAATAATAATTATTAGTGGGGGACTGAAACAGCAAACACACGATGAAACTCCTCATGTTCTCCTGTAGAACACCGATGTGATGGGTTGTCTGTGTTTGAGAGCCTTACTTTTCCAGCTTAGAGAATGGGATACCTTTGAGCCTGAAGAAATTCTTGGTTCTGATGCTGCGGTCCCAGTGGACCATGGCTCATTCATGTTCTCACCACCACAGACTGAAGAGATCTCTGGTGTACGTACCAGATGTCCTCGGGGACACCTGTGCCTGCTGCTGCTGACGTCACAGTTAATGATTGGCTGCATTTTGGCACGTTGACGTGGAAGATTTTGGTTGGTCTGGCAAAAAACGGAAGTCGTGTTAGCACGTAGCATGCTCGGGTGGCCAGACCTGCTCGCCGTTGTTGTTTTTGCAGGTTCTTAGTCGGGGTAAACATGGGCGACTTTTACGAAGATGTACATCATTACCTTTGTAACCAATTTATTGTCCAATGTATAGTCCTGGACTGCACCTTAAAAAATAAAATGGTCACTCCCATATGGGAAATATTTTTGAACAAATAACATAAGAACACATCAATTCAGGTCAAGAATTCAACACTTCTACAAACAGCCAGGTGTTCATTAGATACATACATGAAAAAACTGTTTATTATCTTCTGATGATTCAGGCTCAGGTTGGTTTTAGGTTTAAATCCCTTATTTCCTTCCTAAAAGGGATCAGAGGTTCAATTTCTAAATTGGCCCCTCGTAACAAACGTCCCTCCAGTTTAAAAGCTCTGGGGTCTCATTTTCCAAACATTGTGTAGAATCCTTACTAAAACCGTACTTAAGCTCAGCAAAAAAAATGTACTTATGCCAAGTAGGTTTGTGATCTGTCAAACATGGAGTACGCACAGCTGCACGCAATGATAAATGACCCGCTATGACCCGCACTTGTATAGCGCCTCTAAGAGTAAGGACTCCAAAGTGCTTTACACTACAGTGTATCGTTCATCCATTCACACACTCATTCACACACTGATGGTGATGAACTACGATGTAGCCACAGCTGCCCTGGGGCACACTGATAGAGGCGAGGCTGCCGAACACTGGTGCCACCGGTCCCTCCGACCACCATCAGCAGGCAAGGGGGGTTAAGTGTCTTGCCCAAGGACACAACAGCAGAATTCTCTGTCCGGAGCCGGGATCGAACCTGCAACCTTCCGATTACTGGACAACCCGCTCAACCTGTTGAGCTACTGCTGCCCCATAAATGCTGCCATCATAAATGGGAGACTAACGAGAATGTTTCTCAGCTCTTTTTAATCACATCCCACCCTCACCACGCCCACTTACTGCCATAAATAGTCAATGCAAAGTGCCTTGTGGATCTCATGCATATACATTAGCCGGCTGTTGCAGCGCTCCGCCAATGACGATGACGATGCGACCGTAGATCAAGGCAGATCAAGGAAGTGCTATTTCACAGAAGCAGAAATTGAGGTACCTGTGGGTGAGGTGGAGAAATGAAAGGAAGTGCTTTTGCAAAACAAATAAGAGAAAATCCACGGAGTGGCACAGTGTTGCTGAAGCCGTCAATTTTGTGAGTTCTTCAGAGAGATTTGTGGCGGATATTAAAAAAATGGTCCAATTGGGATTCGATCCCCAGACTCCCAGGTGAAAGTCATGCACGCTAACCAGTCACCCAAACAGCGATCTCCCTTGTCCAAGTAGCCAGGGCGCATGATCAATCAGGTCACAGTGACAGGACACACACACTGTCACAGACACATGACATTCTGTCTCCAGCTGTCCCCCTGCTGATATTCTGTGTGTGTGTGTGTGTGTGGGGGGCCAAGGTGGATAAACGAGGGCCCGGGCGGGATTCGATCCCCAGACTCCCGGGTGAGCGTCACACGCTCTAACCAGTCAGCCAAAGGGACATCCCCTTGGCCAAGTAGCCAGGGCGCATGATCTATTGGGACACTGTGACAGGACACTCACACTGTCACATCTGTGTGTGTGTGTGTGTGCATGTGGGGGGTCTTGTTCTGTGTGAAATCGAAGCAGCACAAGTGATAATGCTGCAGGATTTCATAACTGTATCCTTCTCAGCAGCAGCACTGCAGGTGCTCTCCGTGTCCAACATGTGCGTATGCCAGGTCCTTAGTCAACTTAAAGTTGTGCACATTTTTCCGCTAAGTTTTCTTTCATTAATCCCAAAGTTTGCATGGAAAGTTGCTTACGCAGTTTTCCGACCCCGTTTTGTGCGTAAGCAAGCTTGATAAATGAGGGCCCAGGACTTTTTTCTGTTAGAACAGAAAAACTCTTTAAATGAGGAGCAAAATGAAATATCTGCTTAATTAGCATCCACCTTTTGACCTTGCCATATTCTAGGTATATACATGGATTACACCCTGTGGCAAAGCCACAGTTTTTCTTTAGTGAAATTTAATTTTATAGTTGACCTGGACAATACGATGTCTTTCTCCTGAGGAGGGTTCTTCACTTGCTGATCATAAAAAGGATCCTGCCATTGTCCACAGATGTTTTTCTGTTTAACGATGACAGAACAAATAATCCCAATAATTTTGTGTGCAAGAGTTGCATTTTGTATCACAAATACAGAAAAGCATGTCATTGGTATTTTCTGCTCCCCCTCTTCCCCTCCAGGTGTGAACATTTCCGAACGTTGTTGAACGAAACCGACGAAGACACCATAGAAATCCATCAGTTCTCCTACCTGGTGTACAGAGCCTTCCTGGAGTATCTCTACACAGACACTATCAACCTGCCACCAGAGGACGCTATTGGTAAGCCTCCGCGTGGATTCAAATCTGTTTCCAGCCATCAACAAGTGCTTATCTGCGTGTTGTCGCCGTGACCGCAGGGCTGCTGGACTTGGCCACGTTCTATCGAGAGACGAGGCTGAAGCGGTTGTGTCAGGAAACGATCAAGAGAGGCATCTCTGAGGAGAACGCCATCACTCTGCTGTCTGCCGCCGTCAAGTATGAGGCGCGGGTAAGCACATAGCCCCTGACATCGTAATGGTGGAGGAACCAGTAGCTGATCAGCTGTACTCCTCAGCACTCACCAGTTAGCCCTCTTCATTTTTAGGACCTGGAGGAGTTCTGCTTCAAGTTTTGTGTCAACCATCTAACAGCTGTCACGCAGACACAGGCCTTTGCAGACATGGATCATGACCTGCTCAAGAACTTCATTAGTAAAGCCAGTCGCTACGGGGCCTTCAAAAACTAGACCAGCTCCATGGCGACGGATTTAAGACGTGTGCTTTAATCCCAACGATTTGAGTCAACCAAAGTAAACACCCAGCTCTTGAAAGACCAGTGTACCGAAGAGACGAACAGTTTAAGGTTTCATCCGCTCCCTGATGCTGCTGTTTTACTTCTCTAAACCTTGTCAAAACACCGGGAGGTGAAGGGTAAATATTGGGTTACACTGCTAATCCCATTGTAAGTGGGCGGTGCAGGGGCTAAACAAGACAATGTGCCACGGAGGTCCTCAGCCTGTCGTTGTGTTGCTGACAACACAAGACTGTGTTCGTTTAACCATACAAGTGAAGGATGACTTTCAAAACAAAAGTAAATATGCGAGAAGACTTGTTATTGAGCAGCATGTTACTCCAAGTGATCAGTGACCAACTAATCTTGTGACCAACATTCAGTCAACGGATGTTTCATTTTTACGTTTTCTGTTGGGCACACGAGGTTTATCTTGTTTTGTACACTAATATAAATCATATAGAGAGCCTATTGGTGATTAGGAAACCGCTTCGTCACATATATGGTCCAGTAAAGCAGCTCGGACTGTTGTTTACAGAACTCTTGAACGAGTGCTTCATAGCTGGATGGACGGTGGTCCACAAGTCGAGCAGCAGCTTCAGGATAAAGTTGCCTTTTAGTCTGTGAAGGAAAAAGCAGATTTAAAATAAAAAAACAATGTTGAGCTCATTTAAATATTTATTACAGTAACTGTCCCTTTCTCCTATTGAACTTTTTGATTCTTCAAAGTTTTTTAAGCATGAACTTGCTGCTCCTAGATGATATTTGGTTGGGCACCTTTGGTCTCTGAAGACTTCGGCTGTGTTTGATTTGTCGTAGTTGTTAATCTTACTGTTTGTTGTTTTAGTCATAATTTGTCACAATGCCACCCAAGCCTCTATCAGTTGTGTTTACTAAGTGTTTAGTTTTTTCAGAAGGTTTTTAGTTCAAATGATGCCGTCTGCGGATGAAGACTTGTGCGATTTTTAAAGATAAAACTAGCATTTCGCTTTTCTTCTAAACCGGTTTGTTTACACTTTTTTGGGATTATTGTTTACTAATTAGCAGCAAACGTTGGTTCTTTTTACAAGGATTTTTAAAAATGTATTGTTTCTGTTTTGCACATTAAAGTCACTAAACAGCACTGGTGTTTCTTTTTTTAGAAAATTTACAAGTTTTTATTTAATTTTTTTTTTACAACATTTAGAAAATTTCCCACCCAAAGTTAGAAACGATCAGAATCGGTTTAATTTACTCTAAAAACCCAATTTTTTTTCATAGTGATTAATGATGGTAAATTAGAGAATGTTATGTTGGTACATTGAAATAAATCTGTTTTTAATTTATTCTGAGTTATGAAAATTAATTTGTGTTGATTACAGAAAGCCTCCATCAGAGGGCAGCATTTTCCACATCTGGTCTATAATATCAAAGCAGTTATTGTGATCATTGTTTACCTTCATATTATCACGTAATTTCTCATAAGTTGCCCTAAAACGATTTGGTCATTGTAAAAATGCATTTCCTTGAACACTTAAAAACATTTAGTCCTAATATGTTGAGACACGTGTAGCAACAGATGTGTAACTGATAGCGTTGTGTAATTTACACAGGATGGAGTTGCAATGATGTCAATCCTGATGCAATCCATTTTTTTAATGTGCATGCACAAGTTATTTTTTTTTTCGGACTTGGAACTTCCTCTTGACCTCCTGAGACCCTGTGTCCACATACGAGGACATTGGCTTCTTGCACTAGAGTATTTGATTCTCTTCAACTTAGACCTTTTTTTATTATTATTTAGAAACATTTGGTATTGAGTTAAAGTTAAAAATTTCTGTTATTTCTGTTTTTTTTAGGAAACCTGTCAATATTTTGATTTAATTCAATTTTACACCACACCAAATACAAATGTGGATCTCAGGAGGTTAATTTAAAACTGCTTGCATGAATTTATGAAATTTCACCTCATCATCCAGTCAGACTTCCAGAAACCGATTTAGATTAAGTGGGAATATAAAATAAAACTGGCTGAGATCACTAAAAGTTCTTGAGGAAGCGTGTTACCAAGGGAAACGTTTTCTGAGAACGGATCAAAAAGGTGTGGAAAAACTTTGCTATAAAACATAATTTATGTATTTTTGTACTGACCAAAGACCCTTCTATTAGCTCATCCATTTCTGTTTCCAGTAATACGGTAACGTGGTAAATTGGTTGCCAGCTGTCTTAAGTTACTCAGCCCATTAGAAACCAGTAAACCTTTAAAGATCAAATAAGAGCAAACACACACCAACGGTAACAGGCACTCTGCCATATAAATGTCTCAACATTAAAATGTCAATTTGACTCATTTAATGAGATGAAATGACTTTCAACGTGTACTACAGCATGATTTAAGGCCTAGTTGTTCACGTCATTAGGTGGAAATGCTGAAGTAAATGAAGAATTACAAATGCAAATTTTTTTAGTAAATGTTTTCATCAAATACCAAAAAATTTTAATTTTATCTTCGTGGCTTAGGCTGATCTGACAAAGCATCAACCTTGGTTGGATGCGTGGGAAGTTGATGGAAGAAGAAAAAACTGCGTGGTTTGCTGTTTCGCTCACAAGTCAGATGCTTTAAGGACACAGTGGTTCCCGTCTGCTGCTGTTGCTTAGTTTCAAGGGTTTTCTATGTACTTGAGAAACATGCAACCTCCAGATGTATACTTTTTACATTAGACCACCAGAAGGAGCTTCCTCCTGAGGTAAAATTTTAAATTCCAAACTCAGATATATTTTCTTTACACCCAGAAACGACTTGTACAATAATTAGTGAATTAATCGTGTGATTAATGTGGTGTTAGACAATTCCTCTGCAAGAGCTTATCATCATTGGTGCATCTGTAGTAGAAAAGATTAAATGTTTGTGTGAAGACGGTGTCTCGTTAATAAAGCTGAACTTTATTTTTGTGGTGCACCGATATTAATATCACCGTTATGGCCAAAAACGATATGTGCCGATACCGATATACTGACATTATTGCCTCTAAAAGCAGCAGATTTTGTACAAAATGAAAATCATTAAAGCTAAATTTACATTATTATGTACACACACCACACACTTTTACACTTCTGACAGGATTACAATCACTCTTCGCGTGACTAAACAAATACACATCCCCCCCACCCTCTGAAACAGATAAACAAATGGAAACAAGATGGAAAAAATATCAGTTGTTAAAATCGGCCCGGTTTTATTTATTGGACCGATACCGATATGTTAAAAAATGACTAACATTGGCCGATATTGATGCCAATAAATTGTCCATCCCTATTTTATTTGATAAACCGCCTCTGACATGTTTCAGAGACGCACAGCAGCCATTCATTTTAAAGTCTAATTCAGTTTTTCCTTTCGGGCAAATTTCCATGGAAGTTAACACGATACCATTTCTGTATTCCGACTTTCATCATAGGATTGTATATATCTTGTGTCACCGAATATGCAACAATGTCAAGTGGGATCTCTTCTGTAGGATGGCCAAGTGTTAGGGTGTAGGGAAAGGAGGAGTGGGAGTGGGAGGAAGATCAGTGTCCGCATTGATGTGGATGCTGAACTGGTCCCTTGTGTTGAAAAGATGAAGAGCTTTGGGTCAAACCTAAAGAACAAGATTGCGAATACAAGCGGCTGAGATGAGTTTGTTTCGTAGGATGGCCATGCCTTAGGTTGGTCATCCAGGAAGGATTAAGAAAAGAGCGGCTGCTTCTCCATGTAGAGAGGAACCAGCTGAATTTGTGCAGGCATTTGGTCAGAACGCCTTCTAGACACCTCCCAGGTTTGGTTTGTCTGATATGTCCTATCAGCGGGAGGCTCTTGAGGTGAGCCAAAACTCACTGGAGGGATTAAATAAGCATTGTCCTGGTTTAATACGTTTGGAACAACATCAAAGCAGGTACTGAAGAAAGGGTGGCAACAATGGACTTGTTTCTAATGTAAACGTCTTGAAACCACTCTGAGACGAGTCTAGTCCCGCTGGGTGAAGGAAAAGGCTCATATGGAGCCGTTGTTGCAGATGGACAAACTGATGATGTCAGCCAACTGTCACAAACACAACCTGAAGGTTATTTCCAACAAGCTATTTATCTGAGGTCCATTCTCCTTACCTCGGCCTCAGCAGTTCTGCTGCCAGTTGTTTGTGGATGCCAACGCAACATTTGCGGGGCTCTCGTTTCCAGGGTGACCGTTGGGGAGCAAGCTGAATGTCCTTTGAATCACACTGTTCAGAGTGGCCTCTTCCTCCACCAGACATTTGTTCAGCAGTTTCCATTCTTCCTTTTGTGACATCTTGTCATGATCAGATTTAAACAATCACTTGTGCTTACGTCAGTGCTTATTATATAACCTCAAAAAGTTAGAGTTTAAAAGTCAGACTCGTGTCTCCAATCCTGATCCGAAGGTCGGATGTGTCACAAACTTAGGCGACTTTAGACCCTTCACTAAAACATTCATGATTTGTCTCTCATTTGTAACCCATGATGTTACACTTTGTTTAAATTGAACTTACTTCCTATTTTACTCTTTTTTTTTACTAAAGATCACAGAAAATAATTATACTTATGACTCTTACATTTGACCAACGGCTTTAATTAGCTTTTGTCTATTTTTACTATATCACAGTTTTTCATTCTCTTTCTAACCCGTAAACTTAAGGTATCTTGAATGAATGTCAGTCAACGGGGCAGTCCACCATGCACTGTCAAAGAAGACACACATACTGTACATCCTTTTTTTAAATAAAGGACTTACGTACCTCTGTCTGCTCTTGACTGAAAGAAAACACCAAGTCCAAAGTTGATGCCAAAGCTGTTTTAAATGAGCTGCTGCCATCTTTGTTCTGCTCCGTTGCAGTAACATCCCGCCCAACAAACTGATAGATCACTGCGAAAGGCAAGACACAAGACTGTTCAGGTCTGGTGAGGCTCCAATGGAGCGTGGCTAAGTCAACCTGCTAAGAAAAATCCTTTTGTTTTTGCTATTGTCGGTCTAGATTTCTTGAGCTAAGACATACCTGTTTTGGTCTAAGTGTGTGGTTTCCAGTAGCATGGTAAAAACTACACACTACACACAAACCAACATAACACATGCACATTCCCCAGTAAGAAAGAAACACTTTCAAGATCAAATGTGCCTTTCAAGTAAACAAACATGGTGGAGGAGTGTGCAGCATGATTCTGTCACCTCGGTTTCTGATTGACTACACGTTACGCTTATTTGACCTTGAAATCCTAACATGTTTGAATGACCCTATTTATGATTGAAGCGGTTCTAGCGTGCTTCTGAGCAGACCAGAATGCTCTTAACACACCACACACAGTAGGAATATCTGATAAGATCCTTAGAACAGACAGTACGGTAAACAGGCATGTCCTTACGATTGTAAGAAAAAGAGAATGGGATCAAAATCGGCACGGTTGTCCTGCGGTGTGAACTGGGCCCAATTAGGTGTGAGATAAGTCACACTTGATTGACCTTTGTTCGGAGACTTCATGTTTACGTCTTTCAGGACGTCTGCGAGCAGCCAAGAGCAAAATACATTGCTGTCATCTTAAAAACAGCTCCAACCACTAAAGTTTCACAACGATTCACGAAATATTACAGTTGGAATTCCTTAATATTGCTTAAGAAATATTAACGTTGGTGAGCACCTGGTGGCGGGGCTTTCACCCATGGAGCCCGGTCGGGCACAGCCCGAAGAGGAAACATGGGTCCCCCTTCTGATGGGCTCACCACTCATGGAAGGGGCCAAAGGGGTCGGGTGCAGTGTGTGACGGGTGGTAGTCAAGGGCGGGGACCTTGGCGGTCTGATCCTCGGCTACAGAAGTTGGCTCTTGGCACATGGAATGTCACCTCTCTGGTGGGGAAGGAGCCTGAGTTGGTGTGTGAGGTTGAGAGGTTCCGATTAGATATAGTCAGACTCACTTCAACGCATGGCTCTGGCTCTGGAACCAGTTTCCTTGAGAGGGTTTGGACTTTCTACCACTCTGTAGTTGCTCCCACTGAGAGGAGCCGAGCAGGGGTGGGCGTACTAGTTGCCCCCCATCTTGGTGCCTGTACGTTGGGGTTTACCCCAGTGAATGAGAGGGTAGCCTCCCTCTGCCTAC